CCCCTCATTAGGTGCATAAATACCTACTATCAAAAATTTCTCTCCTTGGGCTTGGATTTCAATTGCCAAATATCTACCTTGGTCATCTTTAAAAATTAATTTCGGCTGCAATCTTTCCTTTGCATAGATCACCACTCCTCTCTTTTTTACTCTGTCAGAAGATATAAATTCTTGTCCTAATCTTTTATTGATAAGTATTTTTCTATGCAGCCTTGTCACATGTGTCTCTTGTAAGCAAATTAAGTCCAATTGTTCTTTCTTTAATGCATAAAATACATTTTTCCTCTTTCTGGGGATGTTTAGACCATTACAATTCCAGCTTAGAAGTTGCAGATCCATAATGAGACTATTTACTTTCTCCTCCTACTGCTCCTAATTGTTGTTCTTCTTCAGTCGGTGGTTTTGGTCCGTGTGGTAAATTTGCTAAATCCAATATTCCCTTCCTTGAGGGAAATAACTCTTGTCCCGAAATCACCTCCTTCTGTAAGTCTTCTTCGTGTTCTCCCAAGAACTTGTCTTTATCACTCACTGTCTTTATTCTTCTTTTCTTTCCCTTATATTTAAAAGACAGGCCTTGAGGGAATTCCCACCTGAATGGTATGTAGTTCCTTTTCAGTAGTGCCACCAAGTCCTTGTACAGGCCTCTTGCGTCCAGAATATGTTTCGGGATATCTTTAAAAATCTCAATGTAAGAATCTTCAATTTGTAGGGTTCTTTGGTAATGCAGATTCAGTATTTTGTCTCTCTCTTCCTTTGATCTCAAAGTTATCAAACAGTCTCTTACCTTGTTCTTCCTTTGTTTTGTTCCCAGTCTGAATGCACTTTCTATCTTAACTTCTTCCTTATCCAGCTCCTGCTGCCAAAAGTTGGTAAATTCTTTTGTCAAATAATCCACCAAGTTGTCTCCTTCACTTTCAGGTACCAGTCTAATTCTCAAGTTCCTCTCCTTCCTTTGCATCTCAAGCATGGACAATGCTAAATCATGCTCATCCAATTTTTTGAGCACCGGTGGAAATTTTTCGTCAGCAGCAGTTGCAATTTCTTTCGCATCCTCAGCTATCTTTCGAGTGGTAGATGATTCCTCTAATAATTTTCCAATTGATTCTGCGTTAGCATTCACTTTAATTTCCAAGATCAATTATACTCTTCGTATTTAGGTCAATTTCCCCTGAGATTTCCACTATTTTCTTATTTGTTTCAGCAACTTGTGTTTTAGTCTCTGCCCCTTGCTTCTTTAACTCATCCAAAGAGTCATTAATTTTCCCAAGTGCCTTCGCAAGTGCTTCTTCAGAAAACATAGCTTTTGCTTTTATCTGTGGGGCAGCTGCCGTTCCAGAGGCTCCGGATGCAGAAGCCCTTCTTTGTTTTGTAATGTCAATTTTGTACTGTCTGCCTGATCTCAAAGTCTTTTCTTGTGAGTCTCCTTTCTCTTTACCATCTGCCATAACAATGTCTTACAGTCAAGGTCATTCCCACACTCATAGACTTGTCAAACAATAGCTTTGCAAGTTCAAATCTAGTTGTTGCTGAAACCATTCACAAGTCCTCTAGAGGGCGAAATATCTCAGGTTTTCTTTCAGTCTTTGAAATAAACACGTTCCTGGAAACAGACCAGTCCCACAATCTTAAAAGGACCCACTCCAAGTCTCTTTAAAAAGCCCTTATAAGTCCACAACAATACTGTCCTGCATAGATCTTTACAATGCAACAAAGTCAAAATGTTTCGAAGTTGAGAGTATCCAAAGTCAGTATTTCAGTTACTATTTAGCCTTCATGTAACAACAGTCCATAGCCGGCTTCCCTTTTCTCCGGCAGTCCGTTCCCAGGGTTCAAAACAGCGGTATACAGCTTATATTCTTGTTAAAAAAAGCAGGGATATAACGTTAATTTTCTTTCCCCCCTCTCCTGCCTTTGGGGGGGGGAGTTCCCTTCTCTTTGATGGTGAATTATTTATCTCCCACCACCTCTTCAATAAGGTTACAGCTTAGACGTCTTTTACTTTGATCTTGCTGCAGAACGGAAAGCAGACTTCCTGTTTAGTGCTTATCCGTCTCGGTGCCAGATCTCTTCAAATTTAGCGTCCAATTAAGCCTTAAGCTTCAATCCTACTCACGGAAAGTTGTCCCTTTTTGTTCCAATTTTCACGGAAGAAATCAGCACTCTCCGCTAATGGCGACGCAGCTTCACTTCGCAGGCTGGGTAGAAGCGACTCTCAGCACCGCGCCACACTCCCGCCGCTGTTCCGTAGCCTTTAAAAAGGCTCCTTCGCAGCATTGGGGGGGCGCAATGGTGCCCACCGAGTCTCTGGCTCACAGGCTTCGCGCCTGTGATTTTTAAGGGTCCCCGCTCCGCCTGTAGCCGCGGGACCCAAACCTACGAAGCAGATCCCCCTCGGGAGCTCCGGGGGAAATCCGCCATTAAGCGCTGGCGCTGACCGGAAGTCTCGCAAAAAAGAACTTTTAAGCTATCTCTGCCATGCTTTGCCTATCTATCTGCATGACTGGTCTGGGGTGCTCCTGAGAGATTTTAGAGAACTTGGATGGACCTGTGAGATCTCGCAAGAGCACTTCAGAGAGCAGTTGTTTAGTTTAAGAGGTAGTCTTAATCTGGGAACGGGTGCGTCTCGTCTCCACTGCAGTGCTGTGATTGGGCCAGTCACGCTTCTTGAAGTCTCTCAGCACTCCTCACAGAGGTGTGGGGAGAAGGGAGGAATTGAGCCGCTTTGAGACTCCTTAAAGGGAGTGAAAGCGGATTCAATCCAAACTCTCTTTCTTTCTTCTTCTGGAGTCCCAGGATTCTCATGAAGGGATCCAGTTCTAATGATTTGAGTATACACATTTTTGCAGATATGCAGACTGCTTTGAACGGAATGCCTGTGTAAGATACAATTGCACTGTAGTCATTAATAACTTGCATCCCATTGCTTTCAGTAAACCTTGTAGTGTAGTCTTATACCATATAGCTGTGTCTGTGCTAAACTGGTGCCTGAAGGTGATTAGGGGTAGGGTGAGGACTATTAAAAGGAGTGTAACACTATGAGTGGCTGGTTTTTGTATCAGTGTTGCGTTCCCCCCAAAGGCTGCCAATTAGTGCTGCTTTGACCTATGAAGCCTTAAACGGCTCAGGACTATAATACCTCAAGGACCATCTCGCCCTATATAAACCAACCAGGACCCTGCATCATTACCTGAGGCCCTTCTGCATGTGCCTTCTCTACAAGAGGTCTGGAGGGTGCCATCACAAAAGCGGGCCTTTTCTGTGGTAGCTCCCCATTTGTGGAACGCTCCCCCTAGGAGGCTTCCCTGGTGCCTTCATTGCATATCTTTAGTTGCCAGGTGAAAATGTTTCTCAGGCGTTTGGCTGATTAACCTTTTTATAGCTTTTAAAATGTGGCCTTAAGAGAGAATATTATGAAAATGATATACAGGTGGTACATGACACCAGTCAAGCTTGCAAAAATCTATCATTTGCCCGATAACAAATGTTGGAAATGTAAGGAAACTGAAGGTACATTCTTTCACCTTTGGTGGACGTGCCCAAAGATTAAGGCTTTCTGGGAGATGATCTATAATGAAATGAAAAAGGTATTTAAATATACCTTCCTGAAGAAACCAGAGGCCTTCCTCTTGGGCATAGTCGGCCAACTGGTGCCAAAGAAGGATAGAACTTTTTTTATGTAAGCAACAACAGCAGCAAGAATACTGATTGCAAAGTACTGGAAGACACAAGATTTACCCACACTGGAAGAGTGGCAGATGAAGGTGATAGACTATATGGAATTGGCAGAAATGACTGGCAGAATCCGAGACCTGGGAGAAGAGTTGGTGGAAGAAGATTGGAAGAAATTTAAAGACTACTTGCAGAAATACTATAAAATTAATGAATGTTAAAATGATGTTGGATTGAAAATAAGTGGTATTGGTAACAAGGTTAATAAGAATATGTAAATACGGATTGATAATGGATGAAAATATATAGTTATAATAGGCTAAGATTTAGAGTAAAGATAAATGAAAGAGGGTAAGGATTTGCTGAAATGTTTTTGTAAATGGGAATACAAAAAGGGGAGGTGTGAGGAGGTCAAGGAAACAAGTAAATGAGCCTAAAGATATTGAAAAATTGGACTTATTTATTTAAATGTTTTCTTTTTCTTTTTAGTTATTTGTTTTTTGTATTTTGTATCTCCTTTCTTTTTTTCTATGTGTGTTTTTTAGCTTGTTAATCTTTGTTTTAATTTTTCTTTATTCTGTAAACCTATGGTTTTTTTTGTAAAATCTTAATAAATATCTCTTTAAAAAAATAAAAAAATAAAATGTGCTTGTGCTTGTGGGAGGGGGATTGCAGGCCCGTGCGCAGTGTGCCTTGGGAACTGGGAAGTAAGTAACAAAAACGACATGAGAAGAACTTGGAAATAAATTGGCCATGAGATTTTGGCATAGGCATTGGGTGTGTATCCCAAATCATCCTACCTGACTGCTGGATGATTATTCACAAGGGTCAGTCCTGGGTTAAGGGTCCCCTCAAGATGCTGGTAAACTAAGCTGACAGCCCCTGGCCACTGAACGGAAGCCCTTTGGCCCATCACCCCCACCTCACGTCATCTGGACCTTCGGATTTCAACCCAGACGCCTTTACCAGGGTACCCTGAGATTTTTACATGTCCAACAGGAGAGGCTCCCTCTCACCCCCAGGTTACACTAAGTATTCAACCCAATGCCTTTTCCCAGCACACAAGCTGGCCCCTCCCTGCCAGCTCACCGCCACACCTACTAACATCTGCAACCAATTCCCAACACATCTAGCAACCAAGTCTCATTACTCTACAATTTCTAGGGTTCTGTGAGGAAAGCCATAGCGTAAATTGGTCTAAAACCAACATAAGTTTGTTTTGTACAAAAACACGGGAGTAGATTGCTAACACAGTTTTTTGGAGTCTGAGTGCACATTAAAGCTGTGTGTACTTTATCAAGGTACTCTGAAAAGAGCTGGCGGCATGTTACCTTTTCAAAAAATCTACTGTGAACAGTGACATCGATTAAATTGCTATTGTTGTCGTCATAATAAGTTTTTGTTCTCACATCCAGTAGAGAAGGCCTTCCAATTACAATGTGAATTAGCCTATTATGAAACACATTATACGCTGTGGAAGGAAACAACAATGAGAATGATGTTTATTTCCAATATTTCTTTCCTGTAGAACAACCTCACACAAAAGGCAAAACTTAGCTCCACTCTGAGACTGCAGTTGGGTTGAAAAATACTTGAGGATTTTGGCTGATTCCAGTGTACCCTTACTTCATATACATCTGTGTACAAATGCACATCAAAATGAGAAATCCATATGAAAGATCTGTAGGCAGGATGGGAGTCAATAGGATAAAAATATATGTAAAATACATTTTGTTGAATTTCAGTTAAATTATTAGAGTGAGGATCATAACTTATAAAGAGTTTGCTTTCATATGATTTCAAACACTTTCAGACATTTTATAGAGAATACATAGAGTAGAGAGACAAGAAATATATGCAGTCTTACCTACATTAACTGGAGTCACTCTGAATTTCAATTCCAGCTTTGACCCAATATCCAAGTATTTAATGGCATGGCGTGGTAGGTCATCAAACTGTTGTATTATATATCTACATATGTCAACAACAATTTTCCATTTTCTTTTATTTACAGTGCCAAAGTCATACAAGAACCACCTCCCAGGTGGAATGTCTGTATTTAAAAGCACCCTATTAGGCATGGTAGCATCTCCTAAAGCATTTTGGTCATCCACAACTTGAACAATGAAGAAACTGCTGCTGCCTGGAATCACCACTGATTTCTCAAGATCGGTTGGTTTAAATATATTCACACCTGGAAACAAGAAAATAATGAAAACATCATTCAATGTGCAGAAGCTGCATTTCCCTTTGTTGTTGTTGTTGTTGCTGCTGCTGCTTCTGCTATGAATATGCCTAATTTACACAAAAGATAAACTGACCTGAAGCTATGGCTTCTTTGATATAAAGTTTAGATTCTTAATTTTTGACAGACTGCCACTACCTGTGTGGCTCTCCTAGTCAACAGCAGCCCTGTAACTCCCACAGCTCATGAAACTTTCTATTTTGCCAGAAACCTCAGAAATGCAGGCAGTGTCAAGTGAAGGCTGAAATCCCATGCTTCATTCACAGGCTGGAAATTGGGGGCTCTTTCTCTTCTTTTTATGGGGCTACCAGATTAACTCCTTACCTTACTTTTCTGGGATACACCTTCCGTACCCTCCCTTCATTTTGCCATTTTGTCTCCATAAGAAAAGTATGAATTTACACATAGTTGGAGACTGATTGGCTGGCTGTTGGTTTAGGAAGGGGATCTAGTAGAAATAAAAATGACTGGATGGTGAGGAACATATAAAAGAGGCTACATAGGAAATTGGGAAATGCTGGGCAGGGGCCACCACCATGCAACCTATCGTAGATGAATAGTATTCCCTACAATTCTTTTCCTATATATTTCCCCTCTTAAGTGTGATTAGCATAAGCCAAAGACCCTCCTTCCAAAAACTTTTCATTATCAGGTGATGCACAAACCTGGAGAAGTCAGCTGAAGCCTGTATGATATACTGCTCCCTGTAGGGGGCAAAACTCTTAAAGTATTTGCTGTACAAGGGCTATCAAGTTTAGATTCAACAGGAAACCGATCAAGAACATCTACCAGTACAGATGATATAAAGCCCGGAGGAGCTGGTGTCCTAAAAACCTCTCTGATTATACACGATCCTCCTGGCCTAAATTAAAAAGAAGCATACATTTATTTATTTATTTATTTATTTACGGCTATTAGCCCATAAAGTATGTACAAACATAAAAGCACAGAGGCATAGAGACCGATATATCCGACAACAAAAGGTGAACACCACGATGCAAGGGTGGGTCATTTAGTAGAGCCAAATAACAGCTTGGGGCCCAGAGAGCTCCAAGGGACGGTTCACAGAAAAAGTAAAACTGAAGACGAGATCCGACATGCACTCTCATCATGACTGTCCGATTAGTTTTTGATGTTGTTGTTGTTTTTTGGTGGTTTTTGTGTGAGATAACCGCATTCAGGAATCTCGCCACCTGCAGAGTTACAGAAGGATCTGTATCCTGCAAAAGCAGTGCGGCATGTGACTCAGCAGGCCTGCCAACCAAGTGCAGTAAAGCAGGACCCAGGAATTTAGTCCTGGCTATGCTATGTAGGGGACAGTTGAACATTATATGTGGAAGAGATTCAACAGTTTTCCCATCACACACGCATAGCGGAGACACCAAACCCTTGGAAAATCTGTGGCTCAGCAGGTTCGATGGAAGGACATTGAACCTTGCACGAATAAATGCAGGTCGGTGTGATACAGATGAAAGAGATGACATGTATGATGGAAGGCCAAGTGGAGGGGTTATTCCGTGATACCTGGGGGAGCAGACACCCCCACCCCTGGCGAGGTTGTGTTGATTTTCAATGTCTGCTAATCTTTGCTCGATAAGGCTTTTGGCTGAGCGTAAGTTCATCTTTAAGGAGTCCGCTGGGGAAATTCCGATGCTCAGAAGTTTGGCATGGATTTTTCCTACCCACGGATTGACAAAGTCGTCCCGCCAGAGGCACTGAAAAAGGTAATGGTCGGGAAGCCTATGCCAGCTGGACAGCCAATAGCCAAAGACTCGCTTCCAGATGACAGTCTCCAATGATGCAATCCTTAGCTCCAGACGTATGGCTGCGTTGCTCACACACATGGGGAGTTTCAGGAGGCGACGGAGAAACTGATTCTGCAATGTCCCCAGCGATGTTAAATTGGACCCTGGGGCCCAGAGCGGGGCAGCATAACAGAGGGTGGAAACCACTTTTGCGTGGTATACCTTCAATGCAGAAGGGATGTGGGAGGCTCCGTCGGCCGCAAAAAATTGGAGTAGAGTATAAAGTATTGTTTTCCCTTTGTTTAGTAAATACTGTATCTGTGGCTTCCAGCTTAGGTTGTAGTGAAAAAAGACTCCCAGGTATTTAAATTTGAAAACCTGTTCTAATTGGACTCCATCTAACTTCCAGCTGTAAGTTTTCCGAGACCTGGTAAAGACCAGGACTTTAGATTTCCCATGATTAATTGTCAGATGGTTGAGTTTGCAATAAGCCGCAAAAATCTTTAGAGCTCTGCATAAACCGACTCTAGAGTAGGAAAGGATCGCTGCATCGTCGGCATATAGGAGCAGAGGGCAGCGAAAATCAGCTAGGCGGGGGGCATGAATGTTGGCTTGAGACTCATTCAGAAAGAGCTTCATATCGCTAATAAACAAGTTGAAGAGGAGTGGGGCCAAAATGCAACCTTGGCGCACACCTCTATTTATTGGGACCTCGTTGGATAGGTTTCCCGCCGGTGTGAGTCTCACTCTAGCCGACGACCCATGGTGTAATTGGGTTATAAGCCATAACAGCCTTCTATCTATGCCCCATCTCTCTAATTTCTTCCATAGACAATTTCTTGGGATACTGTTGAAGGCGGCCTTTAGGTCTATGAAAGCGACACATAGGCGCCCCCGACTCGGGGCAGAATATTTTCTGGCAAGATTATACATAATTACCATATGGTCAGTGGTCAAATAATTGTTCCTAAAGCCCGCTTGCTCATGGCCAATCAAATTTGAGTCGTTTGCCCAATGGGACAGCTTAGACAGCAAAAATTTTGCATAGATTTTCCCGATGATAGACAAAAGGCTGATGTTCCGATAGTTCTCCGTGTCAGCAGGGGGACCCTTTTTATGGACTGGCACGATCACGGCCTCCTTCCATGACCTAGGGATAAGCCCCGTAGAATTAATTGCATTGAAGACTTTGGCCAGAATTTCAGCCCACCACCTCGGTTGCGCAACAATAGCCTCAGCAGGGACTAGATCCGGCCCGGGGGCTTTGCCCGTTTTCAGATCTAATATCAAGTCCATTATCAGGTCTGGGTCGGTAGAGGGCCACAAAGGTAGATGGTCGGCTCGGAATTCCGTGGATGAGTTGGATTCCTCTGCCAAGGAGAAATATTTACTCAAGAATTGTTCCCATGTGGGCGCAGGGATAATCGTCAGTGGGTACTTCCTTCCTCTTTTGTTTATCAGAGCCCAAAATTCCTGTGGTCTGCGGGATCTAGAGGTCGCAATCAAGGCTCGCCAACGCTTTAGATACCACTCGCGTTTGGCCAGCTTTAAAGTCTGTTTGTATGCTCTTTTGGCTTGTAAATAGGAGGATGGTAGAGCCTGGGCATTAGAGTTTTTGTATTCATTATAGATGGAACGAAGAAGGGATTTTGCTTGTTTGCAAGAGGTGTTAAACCAAGGGGCCCCAGCACTGCAATGCGCCACTTTCGCCTTTTGAGGAGGTGATGTAAAAAAAGTGGTAAGGTTTGTTATAAGAAGGTTTAAAAGTTTCAAAACCGAATTGGAATCTTGTAAATCAGTAGTTATTTGAGGTAAATAGGCTGTGATTTCCCTATGGAAAAAATCCTGGTATTTTTGGGCCACAGCCTCCGACCATTTGATCCCTCTTATTTTGATCGATGATGAGGTTTCCAGAGGGACTGAGTGTTTATAGTCCTTCTGGCACCGGAACAATGACAAAGTGGTCACTATTGGGAGGTGATCACTGAAATGTTGGTTTTCAACTTGGAAGGAAAGTACATTAACAGCCAAATTTGCGGAGATCAAGAAGTAATCGATAACACTGTTAGATGCTGGTCCCAGGTGAGTGAACTCCCCCGGTATATCGGGGGGGAAGGTGCCGTTCAAGAATATTAGATTCAGGCGAATGGCCATTTGGTAAAGGGTCACTCCTGCTTTGTTTACTCTGTTGTCCTTTGAAGTTCTAATTCTGGTATGTTCCAAGTCAAAGTTGTCCAAACATGGGGGAGTCCACCATTTGGACTTGGTTAGTAGGTCCCAATTTGTGGCAATACGAGCATTAAAGTCTCCCCCAATTAAGGAGTACGAGTTAGGGCATTTGGTGTGACATGACAATAGGTGGTTTTCAAATGATTCCCATCTCCAATCAAGATCAGGTGCTGAGCCTTGGGGGGGGGGGGAGATAAACATTAGTAATTAGTAATAAGGACTTCCCTTCTGCGATCAGTCCAGATAGAGCAAAAGGCGGGGAAGCCCGTACCAGAGTGAATTTGGCGCGAAGTTGGAGTGAGATCCCAATCAAAAGACCCCCTTTGGGGCGACCACCTTTCAAGGAAGGGGAGGCCGGAAGTGTTAGAAGATCGAAGCCGTCTATGGTAATCTCTTCCTCATCCCATGTTTCTTTTTCTACATTTAATACCACCTTGATGATGTCAGATCACACATCTAATGAATTTTAACGAATTTCGACTAGTTCCTAAGATTCCCTTGCTGGAAAATAGTACTAAGAGAAAATTGTGGTTTCAAGCATGTCAGCTGGCACAGGGCTGCTGTTCAGCAGCTATTTCTGATCTTTTGAATCACTATGATTTTGTATTGAATTGTAGTAATTTTTTGATGACTTTGTCTTTAGCTTTATATTCTCCTGTGCTTTGAATTTACTACCATGATCACAATGTCTGTTAACTTGTAATGGTATTATTGTTACTGTGAGCCACTTTGAGCTCAACAGTTGTTGTGGGGAAAGCAGAATACGAATATTAAATCAAATCACACGAAAATACCCCTTAATCTCCAAGTTAGGTACACCCAGTAGGTACAATATTTCATGGGCCATATTATCTGAACCTGTTCCTTCTGGCTCTAGCAATATCACATCCCTGGAAGACAGCAGATTCCAGCAGTCTTTGCTCCCAAATGTGGTGGTGGGTCCCCATCCCCCCCAAATGATGAAATCATGGGAAACCATGTCATCATCATACGCACTGCAGAAACCATTTCCAATTTCCTACGACACACACATCACCTACTGATATATTTTTGAAGCCTACAAGTTTTGTTTGAAACTTGTATTACACGGTATACGTTGCAAATGTTAGTACAAAGTGGTTCTAAGAGCAGGCAGAACAAGAAAGTGGCAACCCTCTGAACAATTTAACCAAATTAGAGAGATGCTATTTTGCTATATTCTGTAAAATAGCAGGGTACATTAAAAAGAAAAACCCAACAGAACAAGACATTGTTTGTTAACAAAACATATGCTGTTATTGATATTTACTCATAATCTAATCTTTTGCCTCTTTGCAGATTACTGAATCTCTCACGTTTTGTTGCTATCAGTGGCTCATGGTTTAAAAGTAACATCTGCTCTTCAGTGATATACTGTACAGCCAAAGGACATTCAAAACCTAAGTCAATATCCTGGAACAAAGTGAGAAAATTATATATATATATTTTCATGCATTTTTAGATACAAAACTTGCTAAACAATTTTAGGAATAAATAGGAATTTAAAAAAAGATAATTTAATTTATAATAGCAATCAGAAGAGAAATTGCTTAGAAACTGTGTTTCTTTATAACAAGAGGTAATTCACATATCCCCTCTGCCCTCAAGGTCTTCAACGTCAAAGTTATAGCTCAATTGCTCTACGGAATTCCAGTCTGGCTGCCAGGGTTTACCCAGCCGGTAGAATGAGTGCAGGCAGCTTGTGTCTAGAGGAGGTCAACACAAGGTAGAGACTGCAGCCTGGGCGAGATTTCTTACATGCTGGTTAAACATCTGCCTCACAACAGATAAAGATCCTCTCCTTAGTGAAGTTTTGCTAGATCCCTTTCTTTCCCCAGGGCTACAACGGTTTAACATAAATGGACAGCAACTTGTTCTTAAATGTAACTATATGTTGATCTCTGCCTGCAGTTCCTAGATCAACTCTGCATCCCCAAATGGAAACCAGAGTTAGAGGTCATACATTTTCTATTATTGGGAAACAATCAGGAGCTCACCAAGTTAGTGGCTAAATATCTTTATCTGGTTTTTTGTCATCGAAACACATTGCAGTCGTCTGATCTCCCTGGAGACCTAGAGATGTAATGTTAGATTGCTTTGTCTCGTTCATTTGACAAATGTTTTGTGTCACTGGGAAAGCGGAATTCTGTATTGATTGCTATGGATGTCCATGCTATGGATGTTGGTATGTGATGCCAATAAAAGGTTTGATAATGATGAAACTGGTAATTAAGCAGCACAGACATAGCTGCAGTAATCAAAAAATAATACTGATATTACAAAATTTCTCTTAAATTTCTAATGAGTACAAGACTATGTTTTTAAAAATCAGTATTTGCTCAGGGTCCTGAAGATAATGGTAGGAGTCAGTTAAAGCTAAGCACTTTCAAGTCCCACTTGAAAGAAGTGAAGGAGTTGAAGGAGTTGAAGGTGGCAACTTAGCTGAAGCATTATGTGACTTTGCTTGTGCCAAGAGGGTGGGGCAAACTCAATGGTTTTCTGGAAGTTTCATTAATGCAATCCCTCGGCATATAGGGCACATATACAGGAAATATGGTTCGGATTGAGCTATTAGGACCCGACTGCGCCGCTGAAGCCCACCGCCTTTCAAGGTGTTGCTGCCTGGCCAGGCAGGAGCAATAGCCAATGCCCAGACTGCCAGCTTTAATGGTCCTTCTTGGCAGGGAATCGACCAGGGTTCCTGGGACTGGGGAGAGATTTCCTGCAATGACTGGAGCACGTGAGGCCAGAGCTCGAGAACCGCAAACGTCGCCCCCACTCCCCCAGAAAGCAGTGAGCAGCTATTTTTTTCAGGAACCACAGAATTGTCTTTCTTGCTGTAACCCATTATAATGGTGGCTTTTCTGAAATCAACTTTTAATTATTTTTTTAAAAAGAATTAAATCTATTATAAGTATATCTGGATAGTGGTGAAAAAATGCTGGATTAATGACTCCGGTGTCCATTCTAGCTTCCTACTTTGACATGTTGGAAGAGTGAAGGTTTGCCCTTAACAAGAACAATTATTACAATCTCATAGACATTTTTCATTCACACATCAAAAGCATACTTAACCTTCAATAAAGTGTCCACATCCACACTCGTCTCTTTTACAAATGAGTCAATTGTATCATTCAGAGAAATATAATTTAATATTCCCAGGTGGTCAAAGTACATGTTGAAAATACCCTTTGCCGGGGGGAAAACCTTGGCATATCTCAGTACACCTACAGAAAAGGGGAAATATAAATAATGGGCATGCATCAAATCTTATTATTATAGGAAGCATGAGTTTATTCTAGAACAAAAGGTTTCTGTGAATATTTGGAGAGATCAACAGCTCTTCCAACCCATATTTAATCAATGCAATGAGGAAATAGATCGTTTTGATGAGGATAAAGTATATCTAAATTATGCAACTTCAGACAATAGTTCCTAACGGCCAGGATCTAACAAGGTCATATGTGGCCAAATACTTTGAAGCATGCAAGGAGGTGCTGTTCCTTTTTGGAAGAAGCTCCTTGTGCCTCATGGTCTGAATGGATTGGTCTGCGATGGAGGGTTTTGGAAGGTGGGGGTAGACAAGATAATAGCCTTTGCTGTTGGTCACCCAAATTCCTGCAATCTCACTTAAGATAGAAGTCATAGAAGATGCAGTGAATCTATGTCTCTAGTCTACATGGTTCTTGGTTTGGGCACCCTTAGGGCTCCCTGGTTCTGCCCAGCAGAGAGTGAATTCCTTAGGTGCATCAGGTGCTTCCACTTGTTTCTCCTTACCTAGTTATGAGAACACATAGATTGGGGGACCTGGTTTCTTGGCCTAATCTCATATTTGAGTCTTCAAAGACTGCAGGAGACTCCCCTTTTTAATGTTTTCCTACCTGCCTTAGTGTACAAAAGGTTTGCCGCGTCAGTCACAAATATAATCGCTTGGGTGTAAACACATGAATCTACATCTATAACCATCTCAGCATTTAAAGCAAATAATGGTGCAAAATTGGTGCCTCCATCATAAGAAATCCACACCTAAAAGGGAGGGGGAGAGACAATAAAGAATATTGTATAAGAGATCTTTGTTGGCATCCATCTGTCTTGAGAGACAATGGAATGCGCCTCTAGGGGTGAAGTCAAACCACTGTGTTAGCAGCACTGAAGTAACCTCATAATAATAATAATAATAATAATAATAATAATAATAATTTATTATTTGTACCCCACCCATCTGGCTGGTTTCCCCACCCATCTGGCTGGTTTCCCCAGCCACTCTGGGCGTCTTCCAACAAAGATTAAAAATATATTAAAATGTCACACATTAAAAACTTCCCTGAACTTCCCTGCCTTCTCTTTGACATCTGATTGGAGGGCGTTCCACAGGGCGGGCGCCACTACCGAGAAGGCCCTCTGCCTGGTTCCCTGTAGCTTTGCTTCTCACAGAGGGAACTGCCAGAAAGCCCTCGGCGCTGGACCTCAGCATCCGGGCAGAATGATGGGGATGGAGATGCTCTTTCAGGTATACTAGGCTGAGGCTGTTTAGGGCTTTAAAGGTCAATGCCAACACTTTGAATTGTGCTTGAAAATGTACTGGGAGCTAATGTAGGTCTTCCAGGACTGGTGTTATATGGTCTCAGCGGCTGCCCCGTCATCAGTCTAGCTGCCGCATAGTTGTAGTTTCCGGGTCACCTTCAAAGTAGTCCAAGTGGGAGATAACTAGAGCATGCACCACTCTGGCAAGACAGTCCGTGGGCAGGTAGGGTCTCAGCCTGCGTACCAGATGGAACTGGTAGACAGCTGCCCTGGATTCTGAATTGACCTGCGCCTCCATGGACAGCTGTGAGTCCAAAATGACTCCCAGGCTGCACACCTGGTCCTTCAGGGGCACAGTAACCCCATTCGGGACCAGGGAGTCCTCCACACCAGCCCACCCCATCTTCCAAGAACAGTACTTCTGTCTTGTCAGGGTTCAACCTCAATCCATTAGCCACCATGCATCCTCCAACCACCTCCAGGCACTCACACAGGACCTTCACTGCCTTCACTGGTTCCAATTTAAAAGAGAGGTAGAGCTGGGTATCATCCACATATTGATGGATACCCAGCCCAAACCCCCTGATGATCTATCCGAGCACCTTCATGTAAATGTTAAAAAGGGGTACAAGCCTGGGCAGTGAGTGTGGAGGTCGTGGGCTGCCCAGAAAAACAAGGCCCCCCTCTTGGTCTTGCTGATGTGGTCCAAAGGAAAGCAGGGCAATATGTTTGGCACCAACTTGATTGCAGGAGTTTCTGGAAAGAGGTGTACCAGGAGTTATCCAAGCATCTTAGGGATTCCAGACCAGATTTGTGTAGGGTTTGCTCCTTAGCCTTTTCTTCTCCCTAATATATCCCACAATGCAGCAGAGGTTTAGGACCAGAGTTTTCCTTCCCTTAGATCGGCCATCTTACCAGGCTGACGAGCCTCACCTGCCCCTCACGTCCTTCTACAGAATGTGCAGAAACCGTCTACTTGACTGCTGGACTCATAATGGGTTTTATTTGCTCAATCAACCACAGCCTGTCTTCACAAGCAGGGGAAGTCCCTAACTCAGCAAAGGTTTGAAACCCACCAGCAACCCTCACCTGGTTTAGCAGGTCACTCAAAGCCATTTCCTGGGGTGTGGTCGCTGTCACATACTGACAGCTAATAGGAGCCACAAGTGAGAGTTGAGCACAAGGTAGGAACTAAAGGTGGACAAACTACCCCAGAAGGAGCACAAGGTGTCCCCCAACAAAGGTACTCCTCCTTCTCTAACACCCCATCATTTGAAATACCTAGAAGCACCCACTACATTGTCTTGAAGATGCTGACGAATATTTACAAAAAGTCACATAGATGCAGACTTCCAAGGGAGAGGAACGGTGGTTTGGCTGTCTCTCTGTTAGCTCCTGACTATTAACCACTCTGAAGATAAGGGTGATCTGGGATTTATGCTCAAATGAATGAATATTCAGAAACAAGTCACTGGACAATATATCCCACAGGATAGCAACTCTGTCGCGTGCCTGCAGAACTCAGATTACATGCATCTTACTCAAGCACACCCAGCAAGCCAACTTTTGACCAGCGTGCAGGACAACACACCTTTCAATCACCCAACATCATGACCATGCCAGGGGGCAGTCAGGTGAGCCGTCCCAGGCACCTGCCCAAATTTGCATTGAAACTGCTGCCAAATCAGAGCCTTTTCCTCTCCGCTGTAGCAGCAGTTTCAATGCAAACCGCTTTCTCTTCCTGGAGCAAGGTGTGCTCTCACTGCCCACCAGAGTCAAGACACCCATATTTTTTTTAAAAAGAAATTAATAATGGTTTGATGTCTTAACCCAGGTGTGAGACAGCTTAGCAATGTAAAAATGCAGGCTGAACCATCATGCAGGACAAAGGAAGATTACCCTAGCCACAAGCTAAGTACAGAGCCATTAAGAAACAAGATGGGGCCACTGGCAATCCAAGAGAACTGTCCTCCCCTCCCGCCCCCCCCCGCCCCCAAATATAAACAGAGACAGGATATTTGGAAGGTTGCCAGGGTAACTGGGTGTGATGTCACAAGAAGAGTTTGGGGCTTTGGGCAGGAGGCTTGGAACAGAAAAAGGAAAGGAGCACGATCTTGGCAGGCAGGCCGCGGGGAAGCTGGGAGAGATGCCTTGGACTGCAGTGCTGGGGGGCGGGGAAGCCTCTCTTGAGATAACTGTGCTGTTAAGATCTGGAAACCCTCCATCTAAATTCAGGTGTAACTATGTGAATAAATCCTACCTCTTAAAGCTATGACAGCCTCCACTCAAACTCTCCAAGTGTCTCCATTTCCCAGGGATGTCCTCATTTAGAGAAGCAATCCCCGTTTCTGATTTGATCCAGAAATATCCCACTTTTCCTTAAAAGGTAAAGGTACCCCTGCCCGTACGGGCCAGTCTTGCCAGACTCTGGGGTTGTGCGCTCATCTCACTCTATAGGCCGGGAGCCAGCGCTGTCCGCAGACACATCCGGGTCACATGGCCAGCGTGACAAAGCTACTCTGGCAAGCCAGAGCCGCACACGGAAACGCCGTTTACCTTCCCGCTAGTAAGCGGTCCCTATTTATCTACTTGCACCCGGGGGTGCTTTCGAACTGCTAGGTTGGCAGGCGCTGGGACTGAGCAGTGGGAGCGCACCCCGCCGCGGGGATTCGAACCGCCGTCCATGCAATCGGCAAGTCCTAGGCACTGAGGTTTTACCCACAGCGCCACCCGCGTCCCTCACTTTTCCTTAGGATATCCTTATTTTCATTGGAAAAATGTTGGATGGTATGGAGTTATCTAACCCCCGAGCTGTATGAAGGCAATCCATAGGGAAGTTGGTTTTTTTTATTGTTTAATGTTTTATTATGTTTTTACATACGTTGGAAGCTGCCCAGAGTGCTGGGGCAACCAAGTAAGATGTGTGGGGTATAAATAGTAGAATTATTGTTATGGAATGAGGGGTTCCTATTTTCATCGGAGAAATGTTGGAGGATGTGTGACTTCTGTGTCTTGATTCTCAAGGGAAACACAGCCGCAGGGTGAGGGTCTGGAACCCCCAGAATCCTGCTACCGCTTGACAGAGGTAGGGGGTTGGCATGCCACCTTTGCAACACTATGTGCCAGTTGTTAATACACCTTCCTTCTTACACACCTGATTGCCATATGCATACAGAAAATGGCTGTTTGTGTGAAAATACAATCCTTTTGGTATAAATCGCGGATCTGGAAACCAGAAGGCTGGGAATTTTCTTTTTTTATTCATGCTGCCGTCTGTTAACTTATGCACTGATATCAATGCCCGATTCTAGGAAGAAAAAGAAGGAAACACAGTTAAACATATGCATTATCAAAGAAAGAAATGATACAGCAGAAATACAGTGTCTAAGCAGAGTGTTAGGACTGGGCAGGTATAGTTGCCTAACGAGAGCCAATTCATACCTGGTTAAGACCTTCTCATTGCCAGGATGCCGTTCATTCATAGCTGTCAACGTTTCCCTTTTTTTAAGGGAAATTCCCTTATTTCGAATAGGATTCCTCGCAAGAAAAGGGAAAAGTTGACAGCTATGTGTTCATTGTAGGGAAGGCCCTGGTTCATCATTTAAAGGTAAAGGGACCCCTGACCATTAGGTCCAGTCGTGACCGACTCTGGGGTTGCGGCGCTCATCTTGCTTTATTTGCCGAGGGAGCCGGCGTACAACTTCCAGGTCATGTGGACAGCATGACTAAGCCGCTTCTGGTGAACCAGAGCAGCACATGGAAACGCTGTTTACCTTCCCGCTGGAGCAGTACCTATTTATCTACTTGCACTTTGACGTGCTTTCGAAGTCCCAGCAGGAGTGTCAGCTTGGCCACACGACCGTGGGCGCCCAGGGTCGTGGGTGACATGCAGCATGCTTGGTCCTGACACCAAAATTTGTGGGTGCCCGGCCCCTTCATGGAGAATTTTGTGGGTGTTTGGGCACCCAGGGCCCCAGGGAATTGGCACCTATGATTCCCAGAATCAGAACTTTTAGTTAGCTGAATGCCCTCCTGCCTCAGAGGGAAGGAAAGACTGGCCAAGAGCAATTAAACAACAACACACTTTTACTGACCTTAAGAATGCAGCAGAAGAGGTGCCTAGATGCAATCTATCTGGGCACTTCCTCTGCCTTCTAAGGGGCAATCAAAAATATATTGCCTAATTATTGTTCTAAGGGAGGGAGAAGGCATCTGTGGCATTTGTAACTGACAAAGAAAAAGAGATGTTTTAGAAAAGACAACAGTTGCAGGGATCAGAGCACCAGAAGATACAATGCCTCATTTTAAAATGTTTCCTTTTTAAAACATCACCATAGCCATTGTTTTGGAGAAAATTTCCAACATATATATTGGAATCATGGAACTGAAAGGGAACAGAAGGATCTATATTCTTCAGAAAGGCATTCATAGACTACCTGTGAACTTAGGTGAACTGTGGAAGTTTATGTGTTAATTAGTTAATCAATATCCCACCACTCCTCCTGAAGGAACCCAGCTTGGCAGTGGGGTGGGGAGGGAGTTGAGGCTATTGCAGGACACAGGTTTGATATTGGTGGGTCAGCCAGGGAAAATGGGGAGAGGGGGCTTTCAATCAGTTGTCCCATCCATTGCTAATTGCACCCTTTCTTGCACCAAACCATAAATCACATCACAAAAAATGAGAATCCATTCTAAACAAGAGCAGCAAATTGCCATCTGTTCAGAGTTATCAATTAAATAGTAATTAAATCAGAGTCCTTTGGTGCACTGTACCTGTTGAGATAACAAAGCGATGCCAGTGTTCTGTTCATAATCAACAAGAAAAGAAACCACCCGTCTGGATAAGTGCCTTTCACCTTTCATTTTGTGAGGCAAGCAGCTATGCCATTTTTGAAATGTATCATTGCTATAGAAACAAGTGGATTCCTGTTTTTTTAATAAGAAAAAAAACAAGAAGAAGAAAAGGATGCAAAGTAATCGATTTAGAAATACATCATTGTTCGAACTTAAAAGCTTTGCTAAAGAATCCACTGAGCTCTGAATATACAGGAGTGGCTAGTGGGGAGGGGCAATGGTGTGTACCTGGCCTCCTAGCAGGACAGCCACTGCCACTGACCAGAAGGGAGAAGTGGAGGGCCAAGGCAACAGAAAGGTCAGAGCTGTACGGTGCACCAGCATGATGATGTTGATGATGATGCACCCATGCAGCAGTGGTTTCCCCATTACCTTGCCCCTCCTGTCCTCCTTCCTGGTAAGTGGCAGCAACTCGCCGTGTCAGTGCTCCACTCAGCAGGCCTCTCCTGTATAAAGCAAACAAGAAGCAAAGCAAGAAGATTTTACAAGAGCAAGGGCCAAACTGCACATTATTGATGCTTTTAAAAAAGTACACACAGGTCCTGCTAACCAAACACTATGCATTCCCTGGAAATCATTCTATGGGCAAGCATTCACATCATTTCCATCAATTCCTGTGCGAATGTTTCTAACCGTGGTCTTTGTATGATCTCACCCCCACCCCCCCATCCTGTCTCTCCATGGTTTCTTCCTGAGATGGCTGCAGCTTAACAGCAAAAGAAAGACAAAGGGGGGAAATGAATTGTTGAATCTCTCCTGCTCTGATTTGTCTGATCTCTCTCTCTCTCTCTCCCTCCCTCCCTCCCTCCCTGCATGGTTTCTTCCCCCAAATAGCTGCCACCGACTAGCAAAGCACAAAGATGCAAGGAATTAAGAAAGTGGGTAAACTCCAGATGTTCAGATATCTGAATCTGTGGAGTGTATAGTGAGGCATAGAATAATTCTTTACATTTGGACATTTTGTGAATTTTTGCATGGCTAGAAGGCAGAAAGTAGGCCTGTGTATATGTTTAAACTGATAGAATTTTCTGCCAGAAACTGTTGTGGGACTCAGAAGCCTAGATCAGAAGCCTGTTCTGGATTGGAGCTCTGAACCTGCTTTTTTGGACCCACAATACTGAACCAATGGCCCTTGGTGAATACAAGCCATGTGGGGACCCCAAACAGTGACTCCTCCAAAGCCCTCAGTGATCAGGTAGTGATCAAAAGGTTGAGATGCTCCTTGTGGTATCATAAGCTCCTTATGCTACTAGCTAAGGGCTTTGTAAATAAATACAAGAACTTTGAACTTATCCTAGTAGCATATGGCAGCCAGTTCCCGAAAAGCTCTGATAGCGACCACAAAAGCTTCCAGTAATAAATTTGCTCAACTGTCCTTTTGATTTCTGAACATTAATTTGCCAAGGTGGCCAGGAAAGTTAAATTATGTACTGAACAGAATGCACCAAACCCCAACTATATTTTCATAAGGTTTTATCATCATTTGCCTTACCTGGCTCAATGACTTATCTTTGTTGAATGACAGACCAACATAGTCCGCTGCAAGAAAAGCAGAAATATAATAGCTACAACTCAGTGCTTGCACTTCTAAAATATAGTTTACAAAAGGCATCAACCCAGTTTCATGTGAACAGTTAAAAAGAACTCAGGGTGAAATTTTGAAATTATTTTTGTTACATGCCTTAAAATATATAAGTGTGTATGAGCGGAGAGGCATGCTCTCTGCCTTGAGCTGGTTTATTGCAGGCAAGCATTGCGGGAGCACTCTTTGCCTCCACTTACACTATGGAGTTTTGCAGGGTGCTATTTTGTCCCCCATGCTATTCAACAGCTACATGAAGACATTGGAAGCAGACATTAGAACATTAGATGACACAGCTATATTTCTCCATAACGTTGGAGAACCCATGGATTCAAGTTACACATTCAACACATATAAATCACTTTTTTTTACCAATCTAGCTGAGTCCCTGGTTTCCTTACTTTCATATAATTCTTTATTAGCTAGACACTGGCGGCTGTACCATATTTCAGCTTTAAGATAATCATCCTGTGGGCGGAAAAAGACAAGGAAATACTTAGCATGCCAAGTGAATTTACATAGTATAACTGTTAAGATTCTGAAAGGGTCTGCTGAGTCACAAGTCGTCCTTTCTAACTATCACACATGGCCTAAAAACCTCTGTGGAGCCAAGGAAGACAGTGGACAATACTGTCCAATGTCAGAAAACAGCACTAGCTTTCTAGTTTCTAGTGGCAATGCCAGTGATATTAGTAGTGGTGCTGGTGGTGGAACAACTCAAGAGAATTGATGGCCAAAAGTAGACAGAATTACAGAGATGTCAGAAGCAGAGCAAGATGTAGTTGAGATACCAACTTCCCCAAGATCTCATTCCAGCTCCCAATGATAGTCATGAGAAAAGAAAACTACCCCACTGCCTCTTTCTGTTCTTCTCATGCAGCACAGAATTCTGATTTAACACATTGACAGCTGTTTATATAACCTTGTCAGGGAATTCACAGATCAAAGGATAGCTATATGGCCTCAATGGGACCCAATTCCTCTTGTCCTCTGAAATTATAGCACACAAGTGGAAACTAGCAACTGGAACTATACAATGCAGTATCCTGTGTCTTGCTTTCAAAACTCACTGTTTTATCACAGTAATTTATATACTGCTTAATTGCAATAGCCTCTAAGCAATTTACAAACGTTTTTGTGAGTTATAGCTCTATTCTCTGTATTAATGGGAATGGGCCAAGAGGGATCTCTTCCCCCAACCCTCATTCAGCTTGTTACTCCAGCAATCTCCAGGATGGCCCCGTGACCGGGACAAGAGTAAAAGGAGTTCATCTACACACACCCCTCAGCACAGCAATTCCTCTGTGAACTGCGACTGTGATAAACCAGTAGTAGTAGTAGTAGTAGTACTGCTAATATACCGCCCTATAACTGCAGATCTCAGGGCAGTTCACAACAATAAATTTCAATTAAAAAACGCAGATTATATAATAAAAACAAAAACAAAGACAGCCCAATAATTCCCCTGTCTACAAACCATGCAGTTGGTTGGCATGGGGGGTGGGGTGGGGTGGGGGTGGAGAAATGAAGTTCAGTGTCTTCTGAGAATATAAAAAGCAAGGCGTTGGCTATCAAGCAACTGATTCCTGTGAGTTTTCCTGTCAATTGTGTTGTCGCTAGAAAGCTATGTTTATTGGGCTCTGTGTGTGGGCCTGCAAGCTTCTGTCTTCTATGTGTCATCGAGGTAGGTGAGGGCATGGAAGCAACACGGCTGACTTGCAGGTGTCAGTTGCCTAGCATACAGAGATTGCATTGTGTCAGTGCTGGGGTGTGTGTGTGTATCACAATATATTGCTATGTTTTCTCTCCTTTAGAGTGCTGCCATTTACATTTGAACTTGTAGCTGGAAATGCATAGTATTCTGACAACACATTTGATGTCAATACTAAGCCAATGTTAGCATTCTGCCCAGTGTACCAGGGTCTCTGGATTTCATTGTTAGGATCCGTATACTACATGATTTATGATCCTTGGGACACTTATTTCTAAATGGCTAACAAAATGAATGCCGGAAAGAGTTTCAGAAAACATTATTTGTGAGATGCTACAAAAACACACCACTGAGAACAACAAACACAACATTTAGCAATTTCTCACCATTTCAAAGCCACATAAGGTTGGTTTGTTGAACTGAAATAAAACACAATAAGACCAAATTGTATGAATCATCACTTTCTTTCCCACACTTTTCACAAGCAATTTCACAAGTGTATTACTTTACATATTCATTTACCACTTACACTCAATATTATTTACATGGTCATTGGTTGTTTTGAGTGACATAAGAAGCCTGTCTCCACCAACAGCCTGGGGCAACCTAGCTAGGGCATGTACTTTTCCTGTGAGATAACAGGAAATAACCAATAGCTACAAACCAACAGCTAAAACACCTAAGGAAATCAAGTACCATACCCATCACTAAAAAGAATTCAACAATGGTGCCAGCAAAACTCTCTATGGAGAGGCTTCCAAAGACAAGGGGCTACAACAGAAAAGGCCCTGTCACAATCCCCTTCACTTCTAAAGGTAGCACTCCTGAAGCAGGGCCACAGAGATTGATCTTAATATAAGAGGTATCTATTAATTGCAGCAAAGCTACTGTTGGTGTAAAGAAAAAAAAAGAAAGGAGAAGTCCTGGATACCAAGATCCAAGTTTGGGGCAAGTACTCTTTATTGAGAGACCCCTGCAGATATTTAAAATCACAAAATATGCAGCAAAAGTGAAGCACAGGAATATGATAATAATTTTTATTATTTATACCCCGCCCATCTGGCTAGGTTGCTCCAGGCTGTCAAGACCTGTAAAATTTGTCCTTTCAAGTTCTTTCCAAAGTTTCCCACTTCCCCTAGCATAGAAAAAGACCACATGTTTGGTAAGGTTAAAATGGTTCACATACGAAGCAACCAGCTTAGCCTCTTCATACACTTAGTTCATCAGGTGAACTGGAGAGAGAATGATTAGTACACAGATTAACAACGCAATCCTAGATGTGCCTACCCAGACATAGTTCTCACCATGTTCAATGGGACTTACTTGCAGGGAAATGTGTATAGTAGGGTTATAGTCTTAAGCTGAACGAATTGTCTTCTGAGCAGACCTGTGTGGCATTGAATTGTTAATAGATTTCAGGAGGAGATCTTCCAAACTTAGTTTTTTCGCAGTATGCTTACCAGTGGTTTTTAAAACATTAGATGATTGGGGGAAGGGGACACAGGGATATTTAGAAGTACACACACGTACCTGCAACAGCTTTCCAGTTACAATGCGCAGATCATCACTGATAAATAATCCTAGTGAGGTGAGGAGTACAAGACGAGTATTTGTTACGGTGAGATCCACAAGCGCAAGTCCGTAACAATCTTGAGGAGAGAAAAGGCACTGTGAGTAACCTGAGTTGCATCTCTCAGACTTCCATCATTACTTGTTATAGACATGGCAAATTACACCCATATTGAGACACCCAGATCTGTTGGGCAATCCATGCACCTGATATGCATTTGAAGAAGGTCTAGATCTATGTGCTTTTAAGAGAGGGTGGAGTGATGAAATCTGCTCTTTCGAACCCTGCTCCTTTGCTGCATTATTTTTTTTAAAAAAGATATAGCAAAGGCAAGTTCAGGGGGCAGCAAGAATAGAGGCTGGCTTTTCTGACCCTGTCCATCTGACTGTGTTGCTCCAGCCACTCTGGGTGGCTTCCAACATTTATAAAAAAACAATAAAACATTAAACATTTAAAAAACCACCTTCCCTATACAGGGCTGCCTTCAGATGCCTTGGGGGTCAGATAACTCCATACCCTCCAGTATTTCTCTGATGAAAATAGGGATATCCTAAGAAAAAGTGGGGCATTCTGGGATCAAATTAAAAACTGGGACAGCACCTGTAAATCTGGGACTGTCTCTGGAAAATAGGGACACTTGGAGGTTCTGCACTCCAGAGTAAAAAAAATGGCAACCCTGGGAACCACAGCTGAAAGCACTCAGTAGCCCAACATGCCAGATTCAAGGCTGGCGTCAGTCAAAAGCCCTAAACAGGCTGTAGAATCTGACCTGCCAGGGAGAGAAGACCCTAAATGCTGAGGGATGAGGGTTCCCATATCCAAGAAGCTGAAATTTGGGAACCAAGGAGGCAGAGATTCTTTCTTATCACTGTCCAAAGAAAAGGGATGAGGGAGGGCTCTCCAGATCCTAGGGTTTTGAACTGGACATCACACCACAACCTTCACTCTGAGACCTACAATTACTGTATTGGTCTGAATATAGGCCACACTTCCCCCTAAAAACTGGCTCACATAAAACCTGAGTGCAGTCTATGGTGACAATCTTATAAGTAGAGAATCTATGTTTTGAGAGATCTCATTTTAGGGGTGTAGTCTATATTCGGACCAACCCTGTACATTCTATGAAAGTGCAACGTGTTCTAAGGCCTTGGGGTAAGACAGGCTACAAATAAAAAGGAAATGCATATGGGTTAATTAAACAATTGAAAATAAGAATTACCGTTTTCCAAGATGGCACAAATGGTAGCAGACAAGTTAAACCATACCGTATCCTCACCCGTAAATCCATTGTCAGTCAATCCTAAAATTAGTCCTTCAAATACAAAAGAAAACTAATCATTACATGAAAACTGAATCACAGTATAAAGCCAGGCTACCAGCATTTATTAAACTGTTATAAAGCTTCATATTTCCCAGAAATTTCAGCAGTGTAGCTGGTTTGGTTCGGAGGTTTCTCTGTGATATTTGAGTTTATTTACAAATATATGTTGAGTCTAGGTAGAAGAACAACCTATCACCCCAACAGCAGCAAAATCCACAAATAAGCACCCCTGTATCCACAGATGTAGTTACAGACCTTAAATACTCAGCTCAAACCTACTTGCACACACTGAAAGAAAGCATGTCTGCCTGCTTTACTAGTACCACATATCTAAGTTAATAAGCACAAGCAGGTGGCTCGGTATGGGGTGGGGTGGGGGACAGTTGCAAACATATCCCTGGCATATTCCTGTGGTTGTTGTAGAATACGCTGCAGTGTAGTGGTTGTGTCCTGTCCTCTCCTTCCCACCTGAGATTCTCAGCAAAATGCGCTAGCAGTCATGCTTTTCACCATCACACACATATTCGACTAAAAACAAATAAACCAGTGAGCAAATAATTCAAATTAATTGTTTCTTTTTTTGGGGGGGGGTAGATACCATTTCAAAAAATGCATACCTACCATTTATTCCATCTATTTTGAATGCTCAGTATTCAAGTGTCATTGCTTGCCGAGCTAAAATAGTGCCAGCGATGCACAAGGTTTGCAAAACTGCAAATGATCTTTTTGTAAACAACAACAACAAAGTCTTATCCATTGCTGTGAGAGGGAATTGTCCATGAAAGCTGCACCAGGCCCTCTGAGAACAACAGAATGACAGCCTGGGTAGCTCAGTTGGTTAGAGCGTGGTGCTGATAACACCAAGGTTGCAGGTTCAATCCCCTGCATGGGACAACTGCATATTCCTGCATTGCAGGGGGTTGGACTAGATGATCCTCAGGGTCTCTTCCGACTCTACAATTCTGTGTGTGTAGAATGTCCTCAGTCCTGCTCCAAGGGGAACTTGCTCCTCTACTCCTTTCAAAGCACATGGCAGCAAGAAGGCCTTTCCCTGCTGCCTAGGGTTGCCATATTTCTAGAAGTAAAAGTTGCTGAGCTTTTTGGGAGAAACTCAGTCAACACAATGGGACTTACTTCTGAGTAAACAAGTATACTTATTTTAAAATGTTACATCCCACTTTACCCAGTCGGAAAATGAAGCTGGTGGATCAGCTAATTATGTAAAAATGCAAGATACTTACCTATATTTTTAGTTTTATAGATCAGACCAAGTAATGCTACATCACTTGCACAAGGAGTTTTTGCTATTTGGATATTGGCTACTTCAGACAATGTATCATTAATATTCAGGGATTCACCAAGGGTCCAATACCACTGAAGAAGAGGATCTGCAAGAGAGCACTAATGTTTAAGAAAGCAAAAATTCTTTCTGCTTTTTACTTGAAGAGTGAAGGAAATATGCAACTATCTCTGAAATTTGTGGAGACACCCTTGGAGGTGAGTAAGGGATGTTATCAGTCTGGTCCAGGGTTGGGGTGGGGGATGGGAATGGGACTGCCATCACTGTGGTGGAAGGTAGGGGGAAATACAGAAGTGGGTGAAGGCATACAGAAGAGACGAGGTTGTCTAAGTCTGCTGGAAATTGAAGAGTACTAGGAGACCGCTTCAAGTAATGAGTACCTTCCTTAGACCTGTTCTTAGTAGAATACACACACACACACACACACACACACGGGGTACTCTCTTTTTTCATGATGGTGGCTATTGGAAATCCTGCCCGGAATTATATTTTGTTTTGATTGAGATATTTTATGTGTTGCAATTTAATCATTCATTTCTTCTGTATGCATATGTATCAATGTTGTTTACTGCTTTGGAGCCTTTGGGCCAAAAAAGCGGAATATAAATAAAACATTCCATATCATATGAATAAATTCAGAAAACTTAATGTCCATGCTAATTTCCACGAGACCACAATTACTTACAAAACCGCAAACACTCCCTATGAGCTATGACGTACCTCGTATGACATCCAACAAGGTTCCCGTAGTAGTGAACATATTTAAACCATGATGCATATTAAATTTTACAAACCATTCCTCAATTGGATTAATATCTGTTTCAGTGGCATGTACAAAAAAGACAGAGACAGATTAGTCATATAAGTACACAAGTATTATGGGTGATATCCAACGTCCAGCAAACAGGCCTCTGCTTACACAACATGGTTTCTTTTTCTCCTCCCTCTTGCAATCCCCACGACCAAACCCTCTGGAGCAAATTTCAGGGGGCAAAGACTCGTTGCACAAGTGGAAACCCATTCCACTTGCAGATAGACACAAGTGGATATTGCTGTATGCTTACGTCAATATTACTCGGCTACGAGAGATCGCCAAAGTTGATGGCGACTACATGCTCTTCTCAAATTTGCCTACAATGGTGAACTGCTCTTCAACTGAATTCTTAGTAATGTACATCCCTGCATATTTTTTCTAGCCAATTAATTTTCCTATTTTTTTCTATTCAAGTTACAAAAATATCACAGTCAAAATAAATGCAATATACATTATCCCAAAACTGGCTTTCTCTCCACTGAAGTTGGTATACTACTTATGCACCATTTGAGATTGTGCCAAATGCTCACTACCAAGTTGTCAAATTTCTCCCCTGCTAACAGGATTTTGTGCAAAATTTTTCTTTTGAAATTAAATGTACTCACCACCTTACGTGAGTACAAAAACAGCAACAACAACACAAGGAAGCATCAAAAGCCTGCAAGGATAAATAAGTGGAAATTATAAATCTCTCACCTGTATTATATGTTAACTCTTCTCGGTTGATTTCAATACTCCACGAATCCACACCTTCTCCCTTTTGTTTAAAGAAAGGATGGCAACCCAAGAATTTTAGTCTTAAATACTTGAAGAGTCACATACATTTAGGTAAACTACTGTGCAGACTGATTTTCCAATTATGAATTTTCGTAGCTGATAGTCTCATAGCTTAAGAACTGTTTCTCACAGTGGTTTGGTATGTATTTTGTTGTTAATGTTCATGAAATGAAGTACTAACAAGAATTCTTTCAAAGTGTTAATTCTATTGTGCAACAGAAAGCTATCACTTGGCTTTGGAACACATTTTTAAAAGGAAAGCCTGACAAGCTTTTCAGATACCTTTCAATTGAAAAACTTTCTAAAGAAATGCCTAAAGTAACTGATATTATAGTTTGAAGTCTTGCTTTTTTCTGTTATATTTTACTCCCAAAAGACCCATTTATCCCAAATAGAACCCAATATGGCAGACATGTATGTACTCTCTCTCTCTCCATATATATATATATATACGCGATCCCAGTGAGACCCCAAGATGAAATTTTGCAAGTAGCCCTTAGAAATATTAAATAATCCATACAATGTTTTGGGATTTTTCAAAACCATATTAATTTTTTTTTAATCACTTTTAATATTTTTTTTAGCTGACATTTAAAATTTAAAGTAAGCCCATTATGTGACATGTGCTATTAAAGCCCATGAAGTTCTGAAGAGATTGGTGTTTTTAGCTTTGATGTACCTCAATTCTGGGCTGAGCTCTTAAGCTTTTTGTGTAATCCAGGAAGGCTAAAATTGTCAATTTTTAAAAATTTCAAACCCTCATAACTAAAAAATGGGCTGAGATTTAAAAAAAAAGTTTTAAACTTAGTTTTATTCATTCAACAAGTGTGCAAAATATGAAGAAAATTGGATGACATGAGGTATAAAAGTTGGATAACTTGACATGGAAAGACCCTCCTACGGATCACAACAAATGGTATTCAGAAGCATACAGCCTCCAACTGTGGAAGCAGAGCATTGCATCCATGGTCCATGGAGGGCACAGCATCGCCTCCATCATTGCTAGTAGCCACCAGTAGACATCCTCCATTGAAGTAGCAGAGAGCAAGCAGAAACTTCCCCTTTCTGGCATGCTACAACATGATCCAGAGAGTAAGGTGCCTGGCTCCTACTAATACAGAAAATGCCACTGGCACCTTACACTGTTGGAAACAATGTAAAGCACATCAGGAAAAGCTCCATGACTATGATACTTGATTCCTGCTAACGCTTTTCACATGCATTTATTTGCAGAGTTCATGTGGGGTTTGCATTCTTTTAAGGAAAAGGTTAAGTTAAAATCAGCAATTGACAGCTGCCACTCTATTGCTTATTATCATTATTATTACATTTGTATACTGCCCTATATCCACAGATCTCAGGGCAGTTCCAAAATAAAATCACAATATAAAAACACAAAATACATAAGGAGCCCGCCAGGAGGTGAGAGCTTTGGAAAAGCGGGAAGGGAAAGGGGAACGTTGGAGGGATTTCCGCATTCCAGAGATTCCAGAGCCACCTTTCCCGCCGGCAGAGCCGATGGAAATTGGAACAGCGCGGGCGCGCGCAGTTTCAAATCCCAGTGAAGGGGGGAAGAAGGAGGGGAAGAGCGCCAAGAAATGTTATCTCTGCCAACAGCCAGGTCACTTTGCCAGAGTCTGCCCACAAAGAAAGGAATGGCAAGGGATGGCGGGAGCTGTTGGGGAAAAGGAGGAGGAAGTCAAGGAGCAAGTAAAAGCCAACGCCTGGCTGCCACCGTCGGGGCACAGCAGCCAGGCCAAAGAGCAGTGAAAGTGCCCACGCCGGAACCTCCAAGACCTGCTTTAGTGATAGAGGTGTTACTAGAGCTGCCAAACGGACACCCACTAAAGATAAAGGCGCTATTGGACTCAGGCAGCTCCTGTAATTTCATGAGTAAGGAGTTTGCAGCTGAGCACCAGATACAGACTATCCCTTTAAGTAACCCCTTGCAGGTGACCACGATCGATGGGAGGGAGCTGTTGGGAGGAGAAGTTAGCCAACAGACTGTCCCAATGATAATGAGGGTGGCAAGGCACACCGAACGGATAGTGTTTAATGTGGCCACCTTGGGAGGAGCTCCCATTATTTTGGGGATGAGCTGGCTGGTGCTACACGATCCGCTAGTGGGCTGGCATCAGAGAGTGGTCTCCTTTGGGTCAGCGCATTGCCTAGAACACTGCAAAGAGGGGAAGGCACCGGAAGGGGCCAGAGTCACCCTAGCAGGGATGGAAGTAACGGACAAAGGGAAGGTGCCCCCACAATACGCAGATCTGAGCAACGTATTCAGCGAAAGGGAAGCAGACAAACTGCCGCCGCATAGACCCTTTGACTGTCAAATCAATCTACTCCCTGGGGCCCAGCTCCCAGTGGGCAAGCTGTACGCTATGTCAGACAGGGAGATGCAGGAGTTAAGGGAGTTCATTGACAAAAACCTGAAGCGAGGTTTCATCAGAGAGTCCCAAGCGGTGGGGGGCAGCCCAGTGTTTTTTGTGGACAAAAAAAACACAGATAAACCAGGCTTGTAGTGGACTTCAGGGCCCTAAATGCAGTGTCGGAACCTCTGGCTTTCCCTATGCCCCGAATTGATGACATTTTGACTAGGGTGAGGAAGGGAAAGATTTTTACAAAACTAGACCTGCGGGGGGCGTACAACCTGATACGAATAAGGAAAGGGGATGAATGGAAAACCACCATGTTCACCCCTTTGGGAGCCTTTGAATATCTCGTTATGCCCTTCGGTCTACAAGCAGGCTCGGCGTGTTTTCAAGCGTTTATGAACCACGTCCTGGGACCTTTGCTCTACAAGAATTGTGTTGCCTTCTTAGACGACGTGTTGGTATATTCAGAGAATGAGGAGCAGCATGTGAGGGACGTCCGAGAAGTGTTGGGCAAGCTGCAAGCTAACCAGCTGTGGGTGAAACTGGAGAAGTGTCAGTTTCATACCAAGGAGGTGGAATTCCTGGGGTACCGCTTGTCAGACAAGGGATTGGCCATGGATCCAGGCAAGGTCCAAGCGGTACTGGAATGGAAAACACCGAAAACCAAGAAGAATGTGCAAAGATTCCTAGGGTTTGGAAACTTTTATCGGAAGTTCATCAAGAACTTTGCCCACTTGACGGCTCCCATCACTGACTGTCTCAGCAGCAAGAAGAAATTTGTTTGGACGGCAGAGGCGGAGCGAGCATTTGAAGAACTGAAAAGGGCGTTCGCTTCGGAAGAACAACTCCTGCATGTGGATTTACAAAAACCTATGAGAGTTGAAACCGATGCATCAGACCGGGCGGTAGGGGCGGTGCTTCTACAATCGGGGAAGAGTAAGTCGGAGTGGAGACCGTGTGCCTTCTTCTCGCGGAAGCTGAATAAATCCGAGAGGAACTACACGGTGTATGACCGAGAACTACTCGCCATTCACGAAGCGTTCCGGAGATGGAGACATTTATTAATTGGTGCACAACATAAGGTGCAAGTGTGCACAGACCACAAGAATTTAGAGTATTGGAGAACGGCACGAGTGCTCAACCAACGACAAGTGAGATGGGCCCAGGAGTTCTCCAAATTCCACTTTGAAATTTGTTATGTGCCAGGCCCAGAAAACGTCAGGGCGGACACTCTCTCACGTAAACCTGAGTATTTGGAGGAGGAGGGAGCAACCGAAGAGAGACATGTCATCCCAGAGGACCGCTGGGTGTGTGGGGCAGCACTGGTGGGGCAAAGAGAACTGGTAGAGGAAACGGAAAATGATGAATACGCCCAGGATAAGCTTAGAGGTCTCAGGGGGGAGGGAGAGAGCCCCGGAGGCTTTGAGGAAAGAAATGGGGCATTGTATTACAAAGGGGCACTGTATATACCCGAAGGAGAATTGAGGGGGAGAGTACTCAAGCAGTTGCACGATAGCCCCACAGCGGGGCATTTTGGGCAACACAAGACCATGTGGTTGGTTACCAGGGAATTTTGGTGGCCCAAGGTGAGGGAAGATGTAAGGGAGTATGTAAGAGGGTGTGACCAATGCCAGCGAGCCAAAGGGGAAAGGCGGGCGCCGGCAGGGTTATTAGAACCATTACCCACACCAGAACGACCATGGGAGGCGGTATCGATAGATTTTATGACGGATCTGCCGAAGTCCAAGGGGAAAACAGCCATCATGGTAGTAGTAGACCTGTTAACAAAGATGTGCCACTTTGTAGCATGCTCACATGCAGTCACAGCGGAAGAGACAGCGAAATTGTTTGTAGAACACATTTTTCGGTTGCATGGCGCCCCCTTGAGGGTGGTCTCAGACAGAGGCAAACAATTTACGTCCAGGTTCTGGAGGAAGCTCATGAACTTACTGCACGTGGAGGTCAATTTTTCGACTGCCCGGCACCCTGAAACCAACGGGCAGGCGGAAAGAGCAAACGGTATCCTCCAACAATACCTGAGGTGTTATGTCAATGACAGAGAGAACGATTGGGTCGAAAAGTTGGCGCTGGCAGAATTTGCCTACAATAATGCGGAGAATGTGTCTACAGGGATAAGCCCCTTTTTGGCTAATTACGGGTGTCACCCCAGGGCATTTCCAGGGGGAGGAGGGGAGAAATGGAGCGTCCCGGCGGCCGAACATTTTGTAGAAGAGATGGAAGCGATCCATCGTCAGCTCCAGCTCAACTTAGAAAGGGCCAAAGAAGAATATAAAAGGCAGGCAGACAAGAACAGAAGGGAAGGTGAAACCATAAGGGTGGGGGATCAGGTGTGGCTGTCAACCCAAGGGTTGCCGTTCAAAGGGGGTTGTAAGAAATTGAGACCCAAAAGATTGGGACCCTTTGAGGTCATTCAGCAGGTCAACCCAGTGGCTTTCAAACTCCGGTTACCCAACCACATGAAATTGCACCCAGTATTCCATAGGTCTTTACTGTCACCGTACAGGGGGGGACGTGAAGGGGAGCACACCAGGGGACCAGCCTTAGAAGAAAGGGAACGCAGCAGCCATGTAGCGGAAATCATCGATTCCAGGTGGAAGGGAAATCAGGTGGAGTATTTGGTGGCGTGGGAAGGGGAACCGGAGTCCGAAAACACCTGGGTGACTGCAGAGGATGTCAATGACGAGGTCTTAATAGAAACGTTCCACCAAAGGTTCCCGAGGAAACCTCAGCCTGTAGCAAGGTTCAGGAGGGAGTACTTCGGCACCACCGACGAGGAAGAGGAACTGGAAGGATTCACGGAATCGGAGTTGGAAGAAGGAATTGACTCCGATGACGAGGACTCCAGGAGACCAGGAACAGCAACAGGTGGAGGGAAGTGTTCGAGACTTCGGAAGATGAGGGAGGTTCTTTCAGGGGTTTTGCTTCCTCACCGCCCATAGAGGAGGGGACGGGAGGGGGTGAAGGGGGCCCTGGAGGGGAGGTGGATGTCAGGGAACTGCCATCGGAAGGACAGGAGGTGGAAGGGCTCACTGAGGTTGAGAGAGATTAGCAGCTGAAGAGGGAACCAGCAGGGGGAGAGAAGGAACTCCAAGGGAAAGTGAGTCGGAGGGATGGCTCAGAGACACTTCCAGCGAAAACAGTGGGGAGGTTTCAAGACCTCCTATAGGGACACCCACTCCTCGCCGGAAACTGTCACGCCGAGAGTCCAGAAGACGTGTTTCCGTTAAGGAGCTTTTATGCTGGAAGAGATTCCGTAAGCGCCCACTTTCAGATTCTGCTAGCGACTGACGGAGCCATGCTTGAGGGGCTCCGTCGTAGGCAGAGGTTTGCGGATTTGATCAAACTCTGAGGGACTAGGATTTTACGCACAAGCAGCTCATCATCCCATCACAGCATACTTGTAAAATAAAGCTTCTTTCTTTTTCTTTTTTTACCTGTTTTAAAAATCAAAACAGCTGTCTCCCTACTGCCAGTTGCTGGTTGCTCTGCAGCACCCTCTGGTATCACATTTTAATAAAGCATTATGAACGTTAAAAGGAGGACGTGATGTGTCCATATGGTTATAAAAAACCGTTCCTGAAGCCTTCCTTAATGTTAAAAACCATGAGTGCAGATCCACCTCAGGAACCTGCCTTAAACCAAGTCAGATTGCTTGTCCATCTAGCTCAGGCTAGCCCAACTTTTATACCAAGTGGGCCGCAAGAGTACTCTGACCATGTAATCTGTGGGCCACACACTGCCTTGATGCTGTTAGCGCTTTCCCAGCTTCGGGAAGGAGGTAATAGGGTTCTAGGACCTTGGCAGAGCCTTTGTGCCTCCTTTCCCAAACCCAGCACCTCACTTAGCTGGCTTTGGGAAGGCAATGCAAGGGCTGAGGGGGCGTCAAATGTTGCTGAGGGCCAACATAAAAGGTCTTGAGGACTGCATGCGGTCCTTGGGCTACACATTGGGCCACTGTAAGTTTCCAGCCGAATGTTATGGCATTGTTTAATAAGTATCCGGTGACAGTGGCTGTCCTGAGTTCAGGCCGAGGTGACCACCTGCTACCTGATCCCTTTTAACTGGAAATAGCCAGGGAGTGAACCTGGGACCTTTTGCATGTAAATGATGTGCTATGAGCCCTTCCGCAATGCTTTACCAGAGTCATTTTGAAGTAGAAGACTTTGGAGTAGGTACTGTTGAAGATCTGGATGCTGGGAGCAAGACCAGCTGAAGTAAAAAGAACTAGATTCTTCCGTCTGTTCTCCTCGGTGTCGGGCTTATTGATATTATACAGATAACAGCGGACAATCTTTAACAAAGGGGAAAAAACCCAGGATTAACATACGAAGCACATATCCACAACATCTGGAATTATTAAAACTTTAAATGGCAACCTAACAAACTGGACTGTTGATTTCAAAAGCGGAAACTGCAATAAATAAGGCTTTAAGGAGCCATAAAGGAAAGGAAGGTAGAAATCCTCATTTTGTGGGACTTGCCCTCCCCCTCTCTCAGGTGATTTTGCCTGCTTTTGGCTGGCATGGGTAAGTGCCACAGAGAATTAGGCAGTTTAGGGTTAAAGTAGAGAAAATGATCATTATCTAACAAATTAATATACCTGAATATCACAGGGCAGTTTACAATATAAAAGCACAAAATATGTACCGTAATATAATAGCAAAAAATCTCACAATAGATCCCCCCCGACACATTTAAAAGGCCATAGATGGTTTAATGAGCCAAAACGCCTAAAATGTTTAAGTTTGTCCTTCTGTTGCACCCCAAGGCCCCTTCCTGCCATCCTTCCTCTTCCTTTCTCCAATATCCTGAGGCAGTGTTGGCAAGGCTTTCTTCACCAGACCAGGCCTTCTTCTACCTGCCCTGCCCTACCCTCCAGCCCTGGGACTCCTCATAAGGGAGCTGTGCCTGGAGGAAGAACTGTGAGGGGAGAGACTACTTCAGGCAAGGCCTAAAATGTTTATCTTCTGTTGCACCCCAAGGCCCCTTCCTGCCATCCTTCCTCTTCCTTTCCCTGACAATATCCTGAGGCAGTGTTGGCAAGGCTTTCTTCAGCAGGCCAGGCCTTCTTCTACCTGCCCTGCCCTACCCTCCAGCCCTGGGACTCCTCATAAGGGAGCAATGCCTGAAGGAAGACCTGTGAGGGGAGAGACTTCACCAGGCCAGGCCTTCTTCTACCTGCCCTGCCCTACCCTCCAGCCCTGGGACTCCTCATAAGGGAGCTGTGCCTGGAGGAAGAACTGTGAGGGGAGAGACTACTTCAGGCAAGGCCTAAAATGTTTATCTTCTGTTGCACCCCAAGGCCCCTTCCTGCAAAAATAACAGTATCCGGAGGCAGTTTTGGCCACTGTGTCTATTTCATAGGCATAGATCTATAAATGCGGAGCCGGCGCCTGTTCTAGGTGTCTTTCTTCGCAGTTACCTCAGGAACTGCTAACCCAGCATCTACGGGGTCTTTCTTCGAGGATCTGAGCACCATGGTGCCTACAGGCACCAGCTTGGTGGTCCCTGGCTTTTTATTTTAAGTTTTATCTCAAAAGAGAAAAAATGCCCCCTCAGAATCTGGTTGGTTTCGAAGGATTTGCACAGGGCAAAAACTGGCAGGGATGGTTTCCCTTCTTGCCTGTTGGTCCATCCTGTTTGCTTGCCAACCATGGGGGGGGGCTGTTCAGGAAGCGGGTGGGAGCAGCAGCAATGGCTGTACTGTGACTAATTTTTTTCCATGCCCCGCACAGCAGCCAGGATGTGTTATGCCACACTCCCCATGGCAGCCATTTTGTGACTGGCACTCACAGCACTTCCTTCAAATTCAAAATGTGTCCACTGCCCCCCCCCCAAGGTTGGCAGCCCCTGATGTAGCTCCATGAAGTTCATGCTGTCCATATGGCAGGAGGGAAGAAAGGGAGAATCCTGATTCCAGACTCATTAGCCCTGCAGCATGTAAAAGAAATTACCTGGCAATATTCATAGCTGCAGCAAGTTCAGAAGCTAGAACACCCTTTTGTTGTTTATTTAAACAAACTGCAATACCATGTTTTGTTTTGATGCCAATAAATAAATAAAAGTTCTTTAAACCGCATATGGTGTTGTTAGATCCAAGGGGAGTCCGAATAACCAATAATATTTCACTCCATTTAGCTAAGCTTCTGAGTCTAACCGCTTCCGATTAAGTTAGTGATGAGAGCTAACAATCCATTTAAACCAACCACATTTTTCTGTGTACAAGACGAGCTTTTCTGACCCAAAAATGAGGTTCAAAATTTAGGCTTGTCTTATACACAGGTAGTGCTGAGAAGGGACGGGCGAAAGGTTTTTTGGCGCAAGCCCAAGATTGTAAGCAGCGATTGGCCCCCCCCCCACAATCAAGCGGTCAATCGCCACTTAAAAACTCGGTCTTGCGCTTTATTGTGGCAGCTGAGCAATTTTCGGCATTGGCTGCTTGATTGTTTGGGGGGGGATCCCAAAAATCGCTCACCCGCCGGAACACAGCACACAACCGCTTGCATCACAGCTGCCTGATCGCCACCGTTAGCCTTCCTGATTGCCGCTGCGGCAGCTAATAGACAGCTGCTCTTGACGCATGATTGGTGGCTGCTGGCGGAAATCAGGGAGCTGATAGGTGGTTTCCGCTTGCGTCACTCGGTTGTGTGCTGCGTTTTGGCAGGTGAACGATTTTTGGCATTCCCCCCAAATAATCCTCCCCAAAAGCTCAATCCCGCCTATCTTCTAAATTTTGAGGCCCCCAAAATAGACAGGGGCGTCTTATAGACGAAAAAATATGGTATGTCATCTAGATATCAACTTTGTGTGGATATCTATCTAGACATTAGGAGAACTTAAATGAACTTCTATGATTTATGCACCAATGGTTATCGGTATCCATAATATGAACTGACAAGTTCTTTCTTACTGTTGTTGGTATTTATTTATAAAATAGTACCATGCCCTTATTTTAATTATTTTCTCCTTCCCTTCCCTTTCCCTAAATTTGGAGGGGAGGGGAAGGAAATAGCTAAAAGAATTGATTAGCTAATTCTGCTGAGCCAAACAATGGTGTATCGGCAGGTTATTCCCCACTGCCATAATACAAATGCATTATTTGCTGAGATACTCCCCATTCTATTGCAACTGGAAATACATTGCTGGAAACTTACCAAGCTTTTATCTGAAAGAAACAGTTTAATTGCCTTAGATGACATATTCCGCTCATCTCCTGTGTAGCAAGAAAAACTCGAATTGGCCACCACTGAGTGAGGAAAAAAAATATATTGAACACTAATATATTCAAAGATGATATTACAGAACTAGAATATCCTGAAACTCAAATAAAAAATGAAATTGGGGACTGAAATAGATCGCATTGGCTTTTGTGAGTTATAAATAAAAAAATACAGTAGTAATAATCACATCAACAACATTTGATATTATTAGCAGTCTCAGGAAGGAAGTTTTACTGGGAGACATGGGAATTAGGGTGGGCCATAAGAAAATAAATATTACATTTATGATAATCTGTAAACCAAGACTAGACCGGATGGGTTTGGACAACCAAATTAACCTTTGTGCTTCAGTCAGTATCTTCCCAAGCTCTCTCACTGTGGCTCACTTGACTCCTAGACAACACACATTCAACATCATTAGCAAATATCTCTTGCTCTTTAATATGGTGGGTTTTTTTTAAAGAAGCTTCTTGAACCTGCTGCAGTAATATATATATATATATATATATATATATATATATATATATATTTGCTTTCGTAGATTTTCACGGGTACAGGAATGCAGGTTTTGGTGTCCTCGGGTGTCTTCCCGTGTAAAAGTTGGGGTGTCTAGGCGACGTTTCGACGAGGTCTCACTCGTCATCTTCAGGCTGGTGCTTTCGGCTTCTTGTTACTGGAACAGAGCAGGATCTCAGTGTTTGAGTTCCTATAAATACTGTTGAGGGGGTGTGGTGTATAGCCTCCAATGTTCTGGGCAGAGAGGAAGTTCCCAGGCTAGTGTGCCTTTTCTTCTATTGTTCCTTAATATATATATATATAAATAAAATATTGGATTCAGTTCCCCAAACTGTGTGCACACATTTCTGTTTTAAAGGTGGGCCCTATAGTGATACATCACTCGGACAAAATAAAGTTCTGATCTTTATGGAGTCCTTTGCAAATCACAGCACATGCAAATGCATGGCTGCAGGGTTCAGTACACTAGTAACTAACCAACCCGTATGCAAGAATAGGAAGGTGAAATAAAGTGAAACACAACTTACCATTTAAATTGTAGCTAAGTCCTGATGAAAGTTGTAGAACAGCTGCAAGCACAAGATAAAGCTGCAACAGCGCCATCTGTAATTGTAAAAATAATATAAATGTGCATTTAATTCAAAGCTATATATAAAGCTGGTCCCCCAGTAGTCACATGATATGCACAGTGACCAAGGAAGACAACAAGGATGCAGATAAAAGCAACATGCTTGGTCATCAAAGAGTCCCCTTAGGTGCTATGGAAACTGCAAGCTGAAACCTGCTTCCTGTTCCAAACACTGGGTTCACCTATGGCAGAAAGAAGATTTAGTTCCCACCCCAGATGCAGACTATAAGCAACTGGTATGTGCAGGATCAAATTATTTCTTATGAGCAGGAAACAATAATACTCAATCATAGATACCCCCATTACTCCTGTTTTTTCAACAGAGATATATGGTAGAACAATGGAAAGCTAAATGTGGGTATTCACATTAAGAAAAAAACTCATTTGAAAGCCTCAAGCATAATGATAAAACCAAAGTAATACCAAAGATCTATTTAATACTCCCAATATATGCAAAAGAGTCTCTTTGTCCTTCCTACAATGTTAATAATATTATAAAGCATTCTAACCACTACACCATATTGGCAACTTGTAATTATAATTATATCATTATTAATATAATATAATATAATATAATATAATATAATATAATTAATGTAAATAATTATATCATTATTATCATTAAACAGAAAGTGTGAATACTTTCTTCAGCAGATTAATGAATTGCTACATTGCCTATTATTGGCATGGGGGTGCCATACTTGGCATTATCTTGTGCCCAAATTAAACATGTCTTTCTTTCTTTAAACCATTTCTATACCACTTCACATTTTAAAAGTAATCTCTAAGTAGTTTTTCTGTCTTAAATAGAGCATTACTAAAAATCCAGGTAAAACATTACAAATGAGAGTCAGATACATGCAAATACAGTAATACTCCCCAATGGAATGCAGCAAAAGAAAAATCCAGCAAAACAAAATCATTGGGCCAATTGTAACTGCATGCTGTCTTGTAGAAGGCAGTCTCCTGAAGATGATAATGTATGATTTGGGGTGACCCAAAGCTTATGGTAGGGTTCATATCACCAGCACAAACTTTGGAGAGGTCACCCATTTCCAGTTTTATATGATTTGATTACAAGGCTAGTAAATGACAAATTTAAAGATGCCCAATCCCTCTGTTTTTCTCAAAAAAAAATCCACAGAAAGCTCTCCATGCAAACAGAACAAAAAATATGGGGCTTTACAATCCCTGCTATTCCACCCCCCGCCCTTGTTTAAATAATGGCTGCTCTAACTCTAAAAGGGAAATAATTTTAACTGTCCTTCCTTCAGGGAAGGTTCTCACATGCCTTCTTTGCCGAGGCTGTGTCAGTTTTGCTGAGCCATCTTTGCCACTTCCAAGAGAGCCAGCCAACTGTTTGCTTTTATCTTGGGTTCCACAGGCTGACAGTTGGAAGAGTTCAAGTTCCGTCCCAGTGACTCCTAATAGCAACAGGACTCATAAACTGATGCAGCTTCAGAAATGCTTGTGGGGATAGATTTTCAGAATTTAAAATTATGTGGCAGGAACAGGCTACGTGGAAATCTTCGCGTAGTCCTCACATAAAAATGAGGGTCAGTGGCTCTGATACAAAAACTACACAGGAGGCTTGTCCTCCATGTTAATTTCCTCAGCTCATCTGTTGCTAGAACCACATAGGATGCAGCTATATGAAGTGGGAGTCTTTCAAATTAAAAATAAAAAAACCCCACAGTTGCGAGACTAAAGTGAATGCCACAAGGATATCTTCAACCACCCAGTTAGAGCTCCATCTAGGGCAGAAGGGAAGCTGATAAAAGATGGAAGCAAATGGAAGAAAAAACTCAGGTCTCTGAATAACTTGTCTTAGCTGAACATCTTCTTAGTCATAAAAGTGAATCACTTCCATTAGCAATTCTCTTAAAAAAAATTAAAATACTTTAATCCGTTTTGTGGGCGTTTCAGTTTGCAAACAACAACATAACAATAGTATAAAGCAGGTTCACCAGACATGATTCTGCATTAACTATGACAACAGTGAGAAAAGGCAGCAGGAGGAGGCACTTCTACGTCATTTTTTTCTGGTGGGACAGGAGCAGCATGCAGCAACAGCAACAATGTCTGGCTTTGTCTTACTTCGGCTCTCTCTCGAGCCTCTACCTACTGCCCATGAACAGCAACATCTGCAGTAGCAGGGAGCCTGGGAAATGTAGTTCCCTAGGGCTCCTTTCCTAGGGACGCGGGTGGCGCTGTGGGTAAAAGCCTCAGCGCCTAGGACTTGCCGATCGAAAGGTCGCGGTTCGAATCCCCGCGGCGGGGTGCGCTCCTGTTGTTCGGTCCCAGCGCCTGCCAACCTAGCAGTTCGAAAGCACCCCCGGGTGCAAGTAGATAAATAGGGACCGCTTACTAGCGGGAAGGTAAATGGCGTTTCCGTGTGCGGCTCTGGCTCGCCAGAGCAGCTTCATCACACTGGCCATGTGACCCGGAAGTGTCTGCGGACAGCGCTGGCTCCCGGCCTCTAGAGTGAGATGGGCGCACAACCCTACAGTCTGTCAAGACTGGCCCGTACGGGCAGGGGTACCTTTACCTTTACCTTTAGGGCTCCTTTCAGCTAGGACACGATGGTTGCAATGCAATGGTGACCTGCTACAGGCACCCAAACCTCGGCCTGCCAGTAGCCAGTAGCCAGTGGCGTAGGAAGGTCAGGTGAATTCACCAGTGTGGAAAATTTATTGTCAACCCCGCCCCCCCTGAAATTATTAAAAGAAGGAAAATTAGATACTTACATCAGTGGTGTAGATAAGGTTTTTGCTGCCCGGCACGGTCACTGAGTTTGCCACCCCTCTTGCTGGTCCTCATACGGGAGTTCTGCCGATTTGCCACGGTCCTCCCCTCTTCTCCCCTCCAACTGTCCTTCCCTTCTCCCCCCACTCCTAAGGGGTGGGAAAGAACTCCGTTCCTGTCACCTCAGACGCCACCTCTTCTTTGCTTTACATGCCTCATCATGTTCTTTGTTTCTCTTGCTTCAGCCACAGACAGAGCTCAAGCACCTATTCCTGCCCGGCAAAAGCACCCAAAGCAGGAGCAATAAGGAGGATGTAATCTCTCCTACCTGCATGCTGCTTCTGTGAACAGCCATAAGTACAGTGCTCAAGTACAGTGGATTTAGGTGGTGTCATAGGTGCCCCTCCGTGCCCGCAACAAGCCCCGTTGGGCCTTTTTGCAGCCTGCCGCAGGCATGGGAAAGTCCAATGGGGCTCATCTCAGGCTTGGGAAGGACTGGCGAGGCCCGCCACAGCGAGGTCTGGCCCCTGTGGGTGGGCTTAGCCCCATCCCAGTTTTGCAGGGGGTGGAGTGGTCTGAGGTCCCCTCAGCCATAGGGAGTTGGTGCCTTTGGATGGTGTGGTCAGATGAGGACTGCCTTCTTAAACCTTCCCTAATCTAGATAAGTGCTTTACAAAATTCCATGTTTTAAGAAATCCCCAAATTGCAGCAAGTGGCGCTGGAGGCCATCAGAAGGGATTTTCCTTTCTGTTCTTCTAAGTCCCACTAGTCCCTTTCAGCCTGAAAGGTTCTACACTTAGGCAAGAATAACCAGCTGCACCAAGATGGGGGACACTTGGTTTACCAGCAGTATATGTTAACAGATCTCTGATGATGATCAGAGTTCGGATTCCAGTTCAGTGGGTGGCGCTGCTGCTGGTGTCAGTGACAGTGATGACACTGCAGACTACAAGAGCGCAAAGGCCTCAGTCAGACCATCTGATGCGTCTGACAATGAACTGGAAGAACCACTGTTCACCATTGGTCACTTTTCTCCTAAGAAAGAGGAGATGAGTCCAGAAGACTTGCGTCTGGTTCACAGGTCTGAAAGGGCGACCAAAGGCAGACCTCCAAAGAGATTTGCTGATGAGTTTGCTAAGACGGCAACTGCTGTTCTTAGTAGCTCAGAGAAGGTGTGGGAACCTTCAAGCTTCAAAGAGGTTCAGGAGTTAACCTCTAAAGATGCTGAGCCTTGGCTTAATGCCATGAAGGCTGAAGTTGATTCCTTGAACAGGAACCAAACTTGGGAACTGGTACCGGTAGTCCCAGGAATGAGACTGGTTGGCAGCAAATGGGTCTTCAAGGCCAAGACAGACCAGAATGGCAAGGTTGTCAGACACAAAGCCAGATTGGTTGCCAGAGGTTTTTTTTTTTTTTTTATAAAATTTTTATTGGTTTTACAAAATTTTTGAGAAAAACAAACAAACACTAAAAGTAACAAACATACACGTATAGTTTCAAACTTATTTTCATAAACCTCTTTCCTTGGACTTCCCCATACCCCCCCTCTCTGCATCCCATTGTCCATAATTCAACTAGCAACTCCCAATTGTTACTTTCCAGTCTCTATCATCTTAGTCCTCTTTTATATTTCTAGCCTTATGTCCCTGTACCCCTTTGTTTCTGGAAACCACAACATTTTAGCATTCATTAAGTTTATAGTAGTCCTTAAGATAACTTTTAAATTTTCTCCATTCTTCTTCCACCGTCTCTTTTCGTTGGTCACGTATTCTGCCTGTCATCTCGGCCAATGTCATGTAGTCCATCACTTTCATCTGCCATTCTTCCAGAGTGGGTAGATCTTGTGTCTTCCAATACTTTGCGATGAGTATTCTTGCTGCTGTTGTGGCGTACATGAAGAAAGTTCTATCCCTCTTTGTCACCAATTGGCCGACAATGCCCAAGAGAAAGGCCTCTGGTTTTTTAGGAAAGGTACATTTGAGTACCTTTTTGATTTCATTATAGATCATTTCCCAGAAGGCCTTAATCTTCGGGCATGTCCACCAAAGGTGGTAGAAGGTACCTTCAGTCTCTTTACACTTCCAACATTTGTTATCGGGCAGATGATAGATTTTTGCCAGCTTGACTGGGGTCATGTACCACCTGTAAATCATTTTCATTATGTTTTCTCTTAAGGTTGCCAGAGGTTTTTCACAGGTACCAGGACAGGATTACCACGAGACTTACTCAC